CCTCCCCTCCCCCCTCCACCATCCCTTCCCCAATGACTCACCGTTCACCATCTGGCAACTTTGAGTCTGTCCTGTTGCGCTCATTTCCCTCGTCCTTTTCGCCAGTGGGAGCGTGGGTACTTACAACAGCGGCATCAGGAACTGATGTCTTGAGAAACGATAATAACAATTCATCATCATCTTCATCACCTTCATCATCATCATCATCATTGTTGTACAGTAGCAAAATTACAACAACAAAAATACTAATAATGAAAGGAAGAGGAGGAGGAGGAGGAGGAGGAGGAGGAGAAGAAGAACAACAACAACCCCAAAAAATAAAAAATAAAAAGAATTTTAAAAAAAAAGGAAGTGTTTAAGTGTTTAACGCCACTTGCAACACAATAAGGTCATATAAGTGCAGAACATTAAAGGTGTTACAAAAGAGTAACAAAAAAAAAAAAAAGAAAGTGGGGAGGTGGGGAGATATAGACGATAGATAAAAAAATTTAGCTGAACCACAAAAGATGCCTTCTGAATTTTGGGGGATCGACTGCATTTATCATGAACTGCTGGAATCACCCCAACTCCCATCATGGAAATGGGTTGCGTGTCTTTGTACATCACAGACAATAGTTTTTTCGACCAGCATCATTTTCAATGCTATTTCGTTGGGTGTTTTAAAATCCCAACAAGCCAAAACTTGAATATCGATAAGCATTGGCTAAGTGGTGAAAATATCTAAGCACTTCCAAAGGGGTTGTTCTTAATACGAAGGGCATATATCAAAATTGTTTTACCTGACCATGAAGGAATAAAGGTAAAAAGCTGAAATTTTAGGTGAAAGCCAACAATTATCTTCCTAGAATGCTTGTCAATTTTGGGGACTTTCAAATTACTGGTTTTACCACCAGCGCAGATGTAAGTGAATGGGGGTTTGTTGTTCTCGAGTTTCAACATAACAATGGGACAAAATTGAGCGCAGTGCAATAATGAAGTATTTGTTCTCGCAAGGCAAGCAACTACAGGATATTTTTACGGAGATGCATGCCGTATATGGAATTGATTGCCCATCCTATGCTGTGATAAAATTTTGGCGTACAAAAAAGTGATGACGAGGTCAAAGACGCGGCAGAGGGCTGGTTTTCTAACATGGAGAGGGTGCTCTATTCTCAAGGTCTTTTCAAGGTCATACACGGATGAAAAACATGTATAACTCTGGGAGGCGACTACATAAAGAAAGACTAAGCTAAGAACCAAATTTCAGCTTTCTACCTTTATTCCTTCATGGTCAGGTAAACAACTTTTGGTATGTCCCTTGTAAGTACCGAGTACTGGTACCGATTAGCGCCCATCACTACTTTCTTTTTTAGCTTTAGTAAGAGTTTTACGGCACTTGCAACACAATGAGGTAATATAAGTGCCGAAGATTAGAGGTTTTACAAGAGAGTAACATACACAAAATAGAAGGAGAGGAGATAAGAACGATAGATGTTTGATAGGAAAGAAGAAGCAAACCACACCAAAGCACCCACTAACCACCCACCTTTACAATCTATATTTTTCCTATGTCCTGTTCCCATCTTCAGTTAATTTTCCCAATACCTGTTTAGTACAAAGTTGTTTGAGTAAAGAGAAACACATCGACACAATAATGGTCATTTAGTGCTGGGGGAAAAGTAACAGACAAACTGATAGGACCCTAAGAGGGAAAGTAAAGAAGTAGAACCTACCAGTGGCGCCCTCTAACCACCCGCTCCCAATGCCTAAAAACAAAAACAGCGAAAAAAAAAATAATTTCAAAGTTTAAAATAAATTTTAAAATCTGAACGTACTACATCCTCATAAATAGGAGCTTCTTTTCCATTTTTCTCTTCTTCTCCTTCTCTTTTCTCATCATCCATGGACACATCATGCAGATTCGTATACTCATTGGAGAAATCATCATCCATGAAATCGTCATCCGTGAAATAGTCATCGTCGAAGTCATCATCATCATCGTCGTAGTGTAAGTCGTTATCGGTAGATGAGGCGTAGTCAATGCTCTGTGAGGTGTCCAAACTACTTTGGGAGAACACGGAATTCCCAGATATCCTACTTGACCTTGCAAGGTCATGATGCAGTATCCCACTGCGTCTGAACAGATAATAAAAAAAATTAAAAAATCAAATTAAAAAAAAACAACAAAAAACGTGCACGCATCTGCCTGATCAATCGATCAATCCAATTATCCATCTAAAGATCTATCTACCTATCTTTCCATCCATCTATCTGTAAATCTATCTACAAGCATTTAATGTTTTCTCTCTCTCTCTCTCTTTGTCTCTCTCTCTCTTTCTCTCTCTCTCTCTCCCTCTCTCAACTCCCTTTTTTTAGCCTCTCTCTCTCTCTCTGTCTCTCTCTCTCTCTCTCCCTCTCTCTCTCTCTCCCTCCCTCTCTCAACTCTCTTTTTTTACCTAGCAATCTACTCCTTACGATGACAGACATAAGTGACACCTCCCATCCCACCCTGACCAACCAACCACCCCCCT